GCCAACATACTCTGGATCCAATTAACCATTGGTTTGGAATGTCCTCGGTCTCTGAACCATCGGGTTGTAATGCCAACATACTATGGGTCCAATTATCCTCGGGATGGAATACCCTAGGCCCTCAACCGTTGGGTTGGAATGCCCCGGCCTGTTGGCTTACGCACAAAGTCGTGAAGCCTCAACCACCAACCAATCATGTTCACATAATATAGCTAATCATATAACAGGCTACATCCAGTCACACAGATCTACAGATCATTAAGCATAGCAACATCATATCTACTTGGATACCGATATAACATATCATAGCAATACGATAACATTCATAACAGGATATCAATCCAATAGGCCGACATTGGTGCCTTCGACCCACAAGTATAGTGAGGACAACTCACCTTGAAAATCTTAACAGAGCTAAAGAAGTCCCACACCGAAATCTTTGTTCTCGACATGCTACCTATATTCAACAAGACCAATTCCATCAAAAACCCTAAATTCCCAAAATATCCTTAAAATTCAAACTTAGTCAACCATGGTCAAAGTCAAAGTCAACGGTTAAGGTCAACAATCCATGTTAACCTAACACGTCGTGTACACTAATAAACACATTGTGTTTTTATAAAAATCAGATGATCGGGAAAAACCGCAACCAACACTCCATGTTGGCTAGCAAACACGTCGTGTTTACCCGAGCTTAATACGTTTAGTTGTTCCTACGATTCTAGGGACTCCAAAACTCAGATATAAACTTAAATGTTATAAAAAAGGATAAAGTTTCCAACTTTATCCTTTTGGGCTACCCCAAGTGCTCAAAAACTCATCCAAAAGGCTGGAAAATTCAAGGCCTTAACCAATAAGCATAAAACCTTGAGATCGAAACCCAACCTTTCCAAAAGAGATTTTAGCATCAAAATCAACTCAAAGGTTGCTCAAATCATATCTCTTATCCCTATAACTCAATTCATAACAAATTAAGTAGCTTTTGTTCTAATATGGGCATAAAAGTAATTAAAATATTAAGATATGATGTATAATTATGTGTATAGATATGCATATATCAGAGATAATGAAAATGTAAAGTCATTCCTCCAAAAATAGTTTCAAAACAAAGTTAGAATCAAGCATAGATATGAGAGAGGCATTTTCAAAAGTAAGTATTGCCAAAATATATTTATCAATTTCATGTTATCAAATCAATGTAATAAAAAAAGTGTAATGCATATGGTTTCAATTCCCAACCCAAAGTCCAAATTCCAAACTCATACTCATAATTGATGGCTAATCTTGCGGGTCTAAATAAGGATAATATAAAGCACACGGCACACTTCATATCTGTATGTGTTCGTGTTAATATCACACTTATTATCACATCCAAAGCCAAGTTCTAATGAGCCATCACCATAGAACCAAACAAGAGGT